ATCCTGGAGCTGGATCCGTCCCTTCCCTCTCCCTGTGGAAAGGCAGGAGCTGCTGGCAGAGCTCATCCCGCTGCTCCCACCCACCCCGGCCCCCCTGCGGCTCTTCCCGATGGATCAACTTCCTGCTTTTTCCCATGTGAAACTGTCAGAGACTGAACAGTCAATGATTTCTGCATTCTGGGATTGCCAGGAGACTTTTGGTGGCTTTTGCAGGACTTTGGCATTATCCCTCTGATGGGCAGCCGGGCCCATCTCCCCCTCCAGTGCTGCTGAAGGTGTCAAGCCCTGGAAGGGAGAGAAGAGCCGAGTTTACCAGGCCCCTCACAGGAACTCTGCTCTGGGCTGTCCGAGGTGTTGGGGGTTCATGGCATGGCCCATCAAAGCCCATCCCCCCTCTGCCAATCTTGGAAGGTGGGAAAAAACCTTTTCCCTGCCCCTCTCAGGAACTCTGTGCAGGCCTGGGAGACGTTGGGGGTTCATGGCATGGCCCGGGACACTGTCCATGGATATAATAACTCATAACTTCCCTGAGTGTGGGGGCTTCCCTCCCTCACCCCCAATGGATCAAAGTGTAAGGGGGGTACTTTTGAATTAGATGATCAATGGAGCATAGAGGCGTGAGAAAGGAATCATATTAGGATGTGAAACCAGCCAGAGTATGGTACAATGTAACTTCATGGCACAAGCTAATTGGAAGGTCCATTGTGCTTTTTAGCAAGTCAGCTTGATATCCCCTCTTATCAGAGCTGAGTTCTTCCTTGGTTTTGCCACATACTGCAAGATGGATACATCTACCCTTGAAACACAATGGTAGAGGTCATACATAGGGGTGAGAAAGATGATGATGGGAGGAAGATGATGTGGGCAGGGGTCGCTGGCCCCTTGCCCTACAAGTAGGGCAGGCACAGACTGTTGCCATGAGGTGATGATCAGGTGGGGTTTGGCTGCCATTCAGGCATCACCTTATACTGGGTACTGGCCCCACGTGGTGTAATGTGGAACTGATCAAATGGGGTGTCGGGACTGCTGAGCTGAGCGATCCTCATCCTACCACCGAGCCTGTTGCTCCGCGGGGACGCCCGCTAAGCACGGGCACCGACCAGCTGCTGCAGATCCTGACAGCCCTGGCCTGTCTGTGGGGGTCAGCACAGTTTATTGACAGGAAGCAACTGAGAGAACAAACTTTTTAATATCCCTTTAGTGTCACTTTAATTCCCCTTTTATTCTTGAATATTGTTACATAAATAAGTTGTTCAAAGTATTTCCCTTTAATTTCCCTTTTTACTAACCAAGATTGTGTTAATAGTTATCCATAATATAGTGTTAAGATCCCTTTTTTGGTATCCCTTTAACCCCCTTTTTTCACTGGTTAATACTGTATTAAATGCTGTTTGTAGTATTTGTTTTTAAGGCCACAATAGGATGTTTTGTATCCTTTTTTAGTTCTTGATTCTCATGGCTAAGACGATTATTACTATTATTCTCACTGTAATAAAAGATATTTTTTGTGTTTGAATATTTCTGGCACTTGTCTTTATTCCAGACATGTATCCAAAGGAACTGTCTTTTCCCT